AACATCCTATGAACTTAAGGAAACCTCTAGGAGAACCAGCTTCATTATGATTGACCAGCAGCTGTGGCTGACTGGAGGATAAATGTATAAGGAGACACAATAAACAATTATGTATGGCAAAAATATCTGTCTATAACTTAAAACAGGAGAGAAATACAACAAAAGTAGAGGCAAGAGTTTATTTGCCTCTATTTGCAGAAAACAATTTTTTTTTTTTTTTTTTTCATTTTTTAGTAGGTTCCCAGGTTTAAGGTTAGCAACAAGTTATTCTAGCCAGGAAAGAAACGAAGCTGAACAGAAAGAAATGAGGCTCGCTGCTCTCTATGTATGAAAGGGAACGAAGAGGATATCGCTGTATATCCTCTTTGTATATTATACAGGGTTACAGGAAACAGAAGCTCCATCCATGATATATTATTGGGAAAATCAACAGAGGAAGTCTGAGAGAAAAAAGATTATAATCCTATGGAAGAGGATTACGGCCACTGGAAAAAAAAAAGTTAACTGATTTTTAAAATTTATTTCAGTTTAACATGGAAAAAAAGTCAGAATTCTGACTTGTTTCTCAGAATTCTGACTTTTTTCCCCATATTAAACTGGAATAAAATTTAAAAATCAGTTAACTTTTTTTTTTTTTCTTTCAGTGGCCCTAATCCTCTTCCATAATCCTCCTGAAAAAGACACTCAATTTTAATTCCTGACAGTCTGGAAAATAGACAGGGAGAAAAAGGAGCAGCACTACTTTCAGATATTTTTTTTTTTTTTTTAAGGAAGTACACAAAGTTAATAGCAGCTGATGTATTCTTAATGATTGTCCAAAAAAGATACACAGCTCAACATGGAAGCAAATGGTCTGAAGCACTTTCTATGGGCTGTAGAAGGTACTTTCCTGTTTTTTTTCCTATTCTAGGCAAAGAAAAATAAAGTAAAACAATGCTTGGGACACATGCTATATAAAAACAGTGCAATGAAAAAAAGATTATGTTGACATAATGACTCAGACCTAAAAAACAACAATAAAAACATATGATCACCTGACCAGAATACTTTCTTTGAGTAGAAAAAACAATGGAATGTAGATGATTAATAGCCAGTGGTGAATCTGCTGCCTTCTACTTGTTTGATATTGGGTCAAGGACAAAACTGTTCTATAGGAAAACCCTAATATCTTTTTCCCCCCCAAGTGAAACTCTCCGGGATGTCCTCACAGGGAGAATATAAGGTGTTTCCAGTCAACAAGGAAAAACCTCCAAGTGGGACATGCCTCCAAAGGCAAACTCCATCAAGACCTTCAATAAGATGCCCAACCAGACTTCTGAGGAGGTGAAGAATGTCTCCTCATCTTCATGTAAACAAAAATGTCACCATATCATGTGAACTTTTCTATCATTCATAATCTACTATTAAAAAATTCACCTGGCATGGAGAAACATCCCAGCATTGGAAAGTTGACTTCACATCACTGTAGTTGTTTGGTAATTGCTAAACCATCTCTGTGGCACTGCGATAGTTTGCAATTTACTCGGAGGTAATCCCAGGTGCCGTGGTGTGTGAGAGGAGAGCAGATAGGCTAAGTATGGAGGAGAAAAGTGTCAAGAGGAGACGCAGACTGAGTTTATCTGTGAGCTCAGGCCTTCCTTTGTCAGAACAGCTCCTTTACTGGTGAAGGCTCTTTGAACCTGACAGAATAATTAAAATCAAAGAGGTAAAAAAAAGCTGACATTTGCAATTTGACCTGTCTGACTTACAAGGCAAAATTGGCACCGTTTCCTGTAGATTGCATTATAATAGCCTTCTTCCCCCATGTGAGAGTCTGTTTGAGGAAAAAATGTATTTAAGCATGGCTTCAGCTGTGCATGTGTGTACTGTACATATTGGTTCTATGAAATGTGTATTCAAGAGTGTGTGGGAAGGAATAAAAGAGTAAGTTTATGGCATATTACCCAGTCATTTCTTCATTAAGGAGCTGTTTTCCGGTAAGCGAGTGCTATTTGAATAGCTAAATTGTCCTAGCAATGTGCAAACAAGAACTAATAGCCCAGTGTCCTTGTCACGGGGAAAGTCAAACTAAAGATCTCTGAACTTAGATGAGCGTCTGTGTGTTTTTGGTGGTTGGTCTGCCAGAACGATTCTGAATATTTGAAGGTTCTTGCCTTGAATTTGTTGTCCAAATGTATGGTATAGTATCTGGTAGTAAACGTGCAACAGTAAGTTAATTCAAAACAAAACAACCGTTTGAAAATGCAAACATTTTAGAATAAAATGCCCAAAATATTGAAAGTATGTAACACAACTGAATCATTAGCCTTTTCTGTTACTTTCGAAGAAGAACGATTATTTTAAAAACACATTTTCTTAACAATAATGAAAAAAAAAGTAGTAATGACACATCTCTCAAAAACATAAGATTGAAAATATATATTGGGGGGGTGAAGGCCTAATGGTTAGATTTAGACAACTTTTGTCATTTTGTATATAATGACCACACACACAGCAGTACACTTGTGCTCTGAGTGTCAGGATTTGTTTGTGGATTGAGGACCCAAAAGCAGAGGCAGGCAGGCAGAGGTGAATTTTTAGTTTATTTGATTTAATGAAGAGTTCTGAAACCAAGTCCAAAACCACAGGCAACAGGAATCCAGAAATCCAAAAGAAAACAAAGTCCAAGAACAAACGAGAAACCAGGAGTCCAAAAATTCAAAGATTAAAAAAAAACATGAAAACACAAGTCAAACGTTACTAAAAAAAACCTAGGAGTCATCAGGGGAAGAACTGTAGATTGGAGGATGACTCAGAGAGATGAGTAGGAGGAAGACTGATGAGGTTAGATGAGGACCCAGCAAAGATGAACTGAACAGCAAGAGTATTTATGGGAGACAGAAATAAAGAGAGGGCTAATGAGCAAACTGGGAGCAGGTGTGCACAGAGCAAGAGAGGAAAAGAGCTAGGGAAAAATGAGAACATAAGAGGGCAGCAGAGGGCAACAAATAGAAACCAAGAAAACTGAAAATAACCAGAAAAACACAACAAAATAAGAATTAAACCCTTTAAACTAGAAAACAAGGAGTAAAGCAAAACTGGATTCTCAAAAGAAAACTGAACCAAGACTGAAACAGTAACTAGGAATTAACCAGAGAACATAACAAACATAAAATTAAACCATTTAAACCAAGAAAACAAGGAGTAAAGTAAAACTGGATACTCAAAAGAAAAACATATCAGAACCAGAACTCTAACACTAAGAAGGTTGCAAATACCCAGTTCGATCCCCAAAGCCTGAACTCTGGGTCCCTGAGCAAGACCCTTAACCCCACATTACTCCTCGGGCGCCGCACAATGGCAGCCCACTGCTCCCCAAGGGGATGGGTTAAATGCAGAGGTAAATTTCTCCATTGTGAGAGCCAAGTCCAATTATTATATTAATTATTATCAATTATGATAGTAAAGGTATTCTTGATACACAGTCTCCTGTACCACAGTTGTAGTAATTAATCATAGTTTTCTCTTAACTAGAAAAGCCAATTTGAAAGATTGTGCTGCAGTATTGAATATTGTATCAGTATCAGGTATTTTTCCCAGTATTGGGATCAAGTTTGAAGTATTATTATCAGTAGGACAGAGTTTGAACATGTCTTCTCTGTGTTAAACCAGCCTGTATTTGGTCATAATGTGCTGCCCTGTGTGTTTATCACATCAAATGAAGACACTTGGCTTCGATTCCTGTTTTTCTCACTTGAATAACAATTCCTTAAACAGTGCCAAGCAAATGAGGTATTATTCATTTTCCCCAAGTGGTATGACAGCTTTGGGACAGGAGGAGAATATTTTGGAGGCATCATTTCTCTCCCAGAACGCTGAAACAACAGTGCGGAGAACAGAGGGAGGGAATTGTCAGAACTGAGACGCCGTAGCAGAAAACACATTTGTTATGAATCCAGCAGTGCGAATATATGAAACCTATTGAAAATAAAATAAAAAATAATAAAGAAAAAAACAGAGGGAGGCAGGGTTTAAAAAAAAAATCTCTGGAGGTCCCTCTGGAGATTTTTCTAAACATCATACAGAAAAATCAGCTGCTAGGTGAACTGTTTAAGCATTTGTTAAAAGTTGTTTTGTTTTTTTTTTTAAAGAAATTTAGATTGAGAAGAGACACGAAATATTTAAAATTATTAAGATGTTTGGATTTCAACATCCTCTTTAACAATGTTTTGGCATTTTCAAGAAAAAAAAATGTATTTGACCAGATATTAGCAAAAGACTATCCATCCTGTTTATCTACAGAGCACATCCTAAACCAGAACAACACATTAAATTACCTTCTTTAATAAGAAACATTCATATAACCACCTCTTTGTATAAAGTGGTTCAATAAAAATGTATTTACTCATAAAACAAATAAAAAACATATTTTCCAACTGATGGAAAAGTTTGGACACCCTCCCCTAATGGTGTGTCCCTCTTTAACTAAAATGACTAAATTCAGTCAGGCTGTGTTGTAGTCCTCTACTAGTGTCTGACATCAGTGTATGAAAGGCTTTCAACTCTCAGTGCAGAATCTGACTGGATTTATGAAGCATCTGCTGGCTGGTAAAGTCGGCTTTAAAACACAGATTTTCAAAAACTAAGCTGTCATGTATGCAATTCATCTGTTCTAAGCTTTCGCCTTTGAAAGTTAAATCGAAATGTGGATCATCCCTTTGGTTTGTGTTTGAATGAGGAATCTGATAAGAAAAAAAAAACTTTGACTAGTTATACCACACTGCCATCTAGTGCTGGTAAAAATCACCAACATATGTAATAATATAATTGGTTTTCCAGGTTGGAATTAACTATTTATTCCCTTATTGTCATCAAAAGGAAAGCAGAGATGTTTGTTGAACTCTGAGAGGAAACACCTTACTGAGTTGCTTGATGTTAAATTAGCCTAATTTCCTCTATTTATCCCCACAGAATAACATTTAAAGAGTTTTGTGTCATAGAGTAAAAGAGAAACTTGAGCCTTAAACTGAAAGTAAATTTATTTAGCTTTCCTTAATGACACAACAGCCCTGAAAGCCTGGAAATATTTCAGCGCTGGTTGTTCTGCAGGAGGATCCATCTGGTCGGAGCGGAGCAGCTTCAAAGTTCATTCTTCAGCAGGAGTTTGGCTTTCTTCATGTTTGCAGCCACTGCCAAAGAGGGGAGCACAGGAATAAAACAAAAAAATAAATAAACAAACCTGTCAGTGCTCCATTACTCTTCCACTAACAGATCAATAAAACAAAACTGCAGGTAAATCTGCAATCTAACAGTTTATATTAACCCCATATTCTTTTTTAAACTAAAGATTTGTAAACAGGTTTTTGACACAGAGCTTCATTAAATAAAAAACTGTGTAAACAAACAGCTAACTCCCAGCTTAAGCATGAAATAGTTTTCTTGCTATTACACTCAAAAATAAGCTATTGCATCATTGTTATTTCTTGGCAAAAAGTTTGCAAGTTCAATGTCAAAAACTTCTGCAGCCATATATAGTAACTAATTTAGTTTAAACGAAAGTTCCTGCAGAGATACAGCAATATATCCAAACATGGTTTCTATTGGATGACAAAACAAAGCTGATAATAAAAAAAAAAGATTGCAACATTTCCTATGGAACTAAAAACTGCAAAATGTACACTCTAAATGATAAATAATGATCTCAGGATGTTTCCACCTTTAAAGTGTCCATCTGAAGATTACACTATGGACTGGACACATAGATGCTCCTTGAATATTAAAAGTTTTTCCAACCGGATTATTTTGTGTTTGAGGGCAGGACAGAATGTTCAAAACAGTGCTGTTCCGTCTGTGTGCAGGAAGAAGAGTTAATAGAACAAAGGAAGTTTCCAGTCACTCACAGAGCTTCATGTCGTCTGGGCCGTAGGCGTAGAGGCGGTCGCTGTATTTCCCCACAATATCTGTACGCACAGTCAAAGCTGGATCTGCACAATGACACAAATGATCAGCTGAATAAAAAGGTCCCACTTATATTTCCAAGATTCTATGACATTACTAATTAAAAGCATAGTAGCAATATAACATAAGTAAAATGTGTTTGGGACCTACAGCAAATGCAAATAGAAATTAGCCTGACATTTACTTTAAACTACAGAGAAAAGGAAAAAAAATATATATATATATAAATAGTTGCCAAAAAAAAAATCCCATCAATGTCTGTGTTAATTGGATTATTTGGACGAATTTATAATTTATTTTAGTCTGGGCAGCACTTAAAGTAATAGAGTTTAAAAACAGAGGACATTTTGAAATGTATTGTTAAAAAAAAAAATAATAATCATTCAGTGTTAGGAAAACACCACATTTGCTTAAAGCTTGAAATGACTAAATTCTCACAAAAGTGTATCACATCAGGCGCACATGAATAAAAATCATTACTAAATATTTTAAAGAAGGTTTAACCTGTTTAACCTCTCACATTCAGTCTGTTGGGCTCTTGAATGTTAGAGTAAGAGTGAATATAATGAGGGGCTTAAAATTTCTGCTTTGACCTTTGGAAAAAAAAAAAGGTTATAGAAACGTTTCTTGCGGAGGATTTAAAGAACTCTTAATGGAATTTGAAATCCCCTCTTTAAATTTGTGGAAGATTCTAAAATTTCTAAAACAATTGTCATCACGCCGAGGTCCAAGTTCCCAGAAGGTTCACCGCGACAGCAGACAGCAAGATGCTGAAAGATGTCCCAAATATCATAAAATGTCATCATAGGATCTGCAGCAGATACTTGCTAATGTTAATATGAAAGTATACATCCAGCAAGAGACTGCAAGGAAAAAAAAACATTGTTACTAAGAAAAACACGAAGCCTTGACTGCAGTTTGTCTAAGAGTCGTACCAGGATCAGAAGGTTGGAAGAAGAAAATAGGTTTTCAGAGAAGTGAGTGTGAAAAAGAATTGTTTGGAAACGAGAACAAAGACCAAAAAATAAATAAATAAATAAATAAAACAGCAATGAAGCATGAAGGTGGAAGTTTCATGGTATGGGGGGCTTTGCTGCAGTGTGACCTGTCCAGCTCAACCATCCTCTGTTAATTCTAATGAGTGTGTCTGCAAAAGCAAAGGTTTAAACTTAACTGGACCCTGAAATGTACCATTGCCATGTCAATGCAACACTGCCAGTGCTATTTACAAAACCTCTTCCACTTGCATGATATCAGCATTAATGCTGAGCTGTGCAGCAGAGAACACGTTCTGCTAATGCTGTGCTACGATTATATTCAAATGATGCCACTTTCTGGGGCTTGTTATCCCTCATTAGACATAGTCAAAGTATCCCAGATTCATAAGTGATTGTCTTAGAGCTTTGTTTAACATCATTATGTAATTATAACTGATGAAAGTATTTACCAACAAAGAGGATTCGGGGAACATAATACCCATCAGGTGCCAGATTCTTGTCCCCGGTTTCCTCCTGCAGAACAACAGTGATGACAACAGTTATAATAACTAGCTATGATAAGCTTGCATTAACTTACAAGAGGAAAAAAATATAGTGTGAAAGCATTGTAGAGGAAAAACTGCAGAATAACCAACCGTATATTCATGAAAAGTAATGTTATATCTTGTACAATAATTCTATTTCTACAAGAAGTTTTTTTTTTTTTTCCCCAGAAGACACAATTTGACTTCAGAATAAAACAGATGTAATTACCACCACGTTGAGCATGATGAAGTTCTCTTTGGCCATTTTCTGGATGGACTTATCAGCAACAAATGCCTCCTTCAGAGCTGTTGAAATAATTTGGTGTAATCTTAGATGTTAACATTTTGTCACAGCGCAACAAAAACAATTAAATGTCCCAATTTAAAATGAACAGTTTTTGAAATATACTCTGTAAATGTAAAAAAAAAAAATCCATTTTAAAACTCCTTTTTTCAATCTTACCAAAACACTTTGTAAAGCTGGGTATTTCTACCACACACATTGTTTTAGCACCCCTATTAAAGATGTAAAAGACAATGACAGAAAAATTTATCGTTTACTGCAGCAACATTATCTTGTCCTTAAAAAACACAAAAGATACAGCCTTTCCTTTGACTATCAGCTTAGCATCAGTAATGAAACTAAAGGATTTTATTACTCATGCTTTACTGTAATGTTTTAATCAGAGTGATTTAATTAGCAGGGCATTATTTTTTTTCTGCAGTTTAAATAAGAGGCCATTTAATTCTTAGTTATGGCCAATTTTCTGAGCATATCTAGTCTATCCTTATCATGCACAGTAAGCAGGATGATGAGTGAAGACTTACAACTTCCCAGTTATGCCTGCCTTACAACCATTAGGTAAAAAAAAATAGTAGTAATTATACCAAAATTGTAAAAATATATGTTAATATTTTGCGTTTAAGATTAAAAAAAAAAAAAATTCATTTGACAATATGCTCTATCCAGTTTCACCTGGTTTAATTCTGTAAATCATATTCTTTGAGGAGCCTTTTGATATCCGATTATTAATCGATTAATTAAAATATTACTGACAGATTTATTGATTAGCAAAATAATCGTTAGTTGCAGCCCTAGGCATGTTCCTCTATCCAAAGCCCTGGGAGCTTTTTAAGTTATGGCAACACAAACTGTTTAAAAATATCCACAGATTTTAAATGAAAATCCAAATAATCCACTTAGAAATGGGAAAGTTGGTTTACATGTGATATTTAAGATTGATAACGGTGAAAAATGAAGAAAAATGCAACCTTCTTGCATGAAAAATGGAGTCCTTAAACATAAATCCTATTGATGCATAGCAGAAGATGCAGGATTATGAATGATGGTCAAATACTGTATCAAATTTTCACAGAGCACCAGTATTGCAGTATAAATGGTTGTTAGAGAAAGCTAGCTCCCTGCTGGAGTTGTACAAAGTATTGACTGAAGCGCTGTCAATACACCTGAAACTGGTGATTGATTTTCAACATAAATATACTCAAGTTAATAAAATTTAAAAAAATTCAGTGTAATTTTCCCACTGTAATATATGGTTGATTTTAATGCCTCTGACACCTCTTTGCAAGGGATGCTAATTAGAATATAGCTTAAAAAAAGGAAAAGGCAGTCTCTGCTCTGTGGTTGAGACTTCAAATGAGCTCCAGAAAACCAGCTGTGTGATTTATAACCAGAAATCCAACCTACTCCATTACCTGCTCTGCAGGTATTAAAGGATACAAGCACTGGCCTCCCAGTGAAGTCAAAGCAGTCAGGAGAACAAAAGAAAGCCTGCAGATCTACATCTGTACATGCAATGTTTGCTTTTTCATGGAATAAAACAACAAAAAAAGCCAAAGAATCTGCGGTACCTTTACTGTGTGGGCAGTTGTCTAGATGATGAATGACCATCAATGGTTTCTGACTGGGAGAATGAAAACAAAGTGAAACAATTCAGTAGGTTCTTCAGCATAGTAAGCACAATGATGGAGCAAATGTAATAAATCTATTGACAAAACGAGCGGAAAAGCCCATTTTTAAATGTCTAGTGATTGATGAAAGCCAGCCGTTTACATGTGTGTGATAAGAACAAAGCTAGCAATCATTAGACATAGGATAAACAATCCCATCAAGCAAAATAATGATGAAAAAGTAACCTAGCAATGGGTGAAAAGTCTTACCTCTTGCCCAATTCCGACAGGCCATCCTCATAACTTTTGATCCATTTAATTGTTTTCCCCCATCCTACAGGAAAAAAAAAAAAAAAATATTGGGCAATGATTGACACCCAATACATTTTCAAAAAGGTTTTACAGAATCTTCTTTCCCTAATTATTAAAATCCAAATGCTATGAATATTTCATGGTAATGTGAACTTCAAAAAGAAGACTCGCCTACCTCTCGACAGATTCTGAGTCTGAGTCTGAGTCTTCGCCTTCTTTTTCTGTGCTTCAGCAGTGGCACAGAGGCTGATGAAGAAAGCGAGCAAAACCCAGCGGAACATCGCTCCCAGAACTTCAACAGAACCACAGTAATGATCAGCTGTTTAATACAAGTGTGAAAGGCAGGCAGCACATAGCTTTAACTTCAAAGATATTCAGAGTCACCAAACAAGTCAGACACGCCTAGCATTCACCAGAGTGGTGAACAGGGCAGTAAATTCACACAATTTGAAGCATTTACTTCAAATAAATAAGATAAAAAGCTTCCATAACTACCATATTAACAGCATTTATGTAAGGTTTATGTCTTTATCATAAATATTGACTTTTCCACATTCAAAGTAGAGAAATCTTGATAGAGTATTATGTTTAAAAAAACAGTAACTTTTGAAATAAACTGCTATAGTTAGTGCTGTGCAAATGCTTAAGACAAATATTAATAATCTTTTACTCAGAATATTTCTGATGGAAGTACTTATCATTGCTTAGAAAAACACCACCATAGTTTTGTCTTCTGGAAATACTTGGATGTCTTACCTTGTCAGCATGAAGCAAGAATCTGTGCTTCAACTCCTTTTTGTTTCCCTTTTGTCAGTTTTTAAACTAAACTTGCCAAACCAGTACATATAATAGCTATGAGTACGAGACAAAGGAAATATTACTCACCAAGAAACAAATATATGCATGCGCACACCTCAACACGCCCAACAAGCCTCAATGGGATGTTTAACTAAAACTAATCACAGCATTCCACTTGTCTAGCACTATAGTGGAAGGTCGACGATTTCAGTTGGTTGTGCTGCAAAAGAGGTTTAACAACCTGCAGTCAGGGAGCCGACCAATAAGAACCTTGTGAATCACAGTCAAACCAGAGTCAGACATGTAGGTCTGGTTAGGTAAGCCTTATTCGTTAAGATAGAAAGGGACAAAAGTTAGAAACATAAGATCCAAGGTATGTTACTATTCTAGCAATTTCACTCCTCCATCCAGTTTTTAATGCTATAAATGAATTACTGTAACAAAGTGTTTTGTGAATTAATGCCTACAAACTATCAGGGCAAATAATCACTAAAAGTCCATCATTGTGAGAAACATAACTGCATAACTTTGGTGTAGATTCTAAATATAGCTAAAGATTATTAAAGTGCAGAGGTCAGCATATTTTAAAAGTTTAGAGCCACAAAAGCTGAAAGACTCCCCTAAAAGAAAATAGCTTATTTTTACAAAATCAGGTATCAGATTTTTTTAAATGAAAGAAAAAACTATATATGTTTTTTCTTTTTAAAGATAAATGAAATAAAAAATTTACGGAAAAGGGAATAAATTCATTATTACTGATCAGATCTTCTCAAATTATGTTAAAAAGCATGAGGGTTGAAGACAAAGGAATTACTTATCATTCTGATTTTTTCTATGTTATTAATGTAAATTACTACTACAGCTAATGTTTATTTATCTATCATCATTAGATTTTAAAACACATCTCACATATACCAATTTTGGTCAAGTCATTGAAAGCCACAGTAGAAGAGCCTCTTCTGGCTTTGGGGCTGCAGTTGCAGAATGCCTCCTTTAGGATCTAGCTTCAAAAGATAATTTCACAGTTATTTAAATGATGGCCTGTGTGCTTTTTGCTTTAACTAGTTTCTTAGGAAGGAAGCAAAAAAATTCAGTTAAACATAGAAAAAGTATAGGATTTGCTTTTATTTTATTTCTCCATTGTGAGATCATTAATGTTCTATTCTATTCTATTTATCATTTTTGAGGGTCGGACATATTGAAGAATAAAAAAATCAAGTTTAAAAAGCAATAATTTCCCTATTCTTCAATCTGCAAAGCAGATAAGTGTATAACATCAACTGACATATTATTTAGTATCTCTAATTTGCAACATTAAGCTAAATTAAGCTTTATAAGACTCTGTAATTGGTGAGTTTTCAAGTTTCTGACTGAAAACCTGGAAAATATAAATAAATAACAGGGCAATGTCTTTCATACAAAAGAGGATTAGGGCCACTGAAAAAAAAGTTTTCTTTTTCAGAATAAGATTTTCAAATATTATTTCAGTTTAATATGGGAAAAACTCAGAATTCTGACATTAATCTCAGAATTCTGACTTTAAACTAGCAGAAATGAGTGATAAAACAGAAAGGATTTTAAGGCATTCATTTTCTCAGGAAATACATTATTAACCTTTAGCACATTATATATTTTAGAAAGTTTAATATTTTGGTGGAGGCAAAACATCATTTATGTCTTTTATAACAAAATAAAATCGAGGACGACCCAGATATACATCTGGATGCGCTTGCGCAAATTGCCTGATGGCGCATGCGCAGAACGGACCGTGCTTCCTGGATGGATCGCTGTCCAAAAAAAAAAACTCTTCTCGGCTATCTGTTAGCTGTTGCTATGGAGCTGGCTAGCTGTTAGCTGTTGCTATGGAGACAGAATGCATTGCGACCGTAAGCCCTTGCGCCTGCGCAATCTTAACTTTAGCAATGCACTGTGGGATTGGCGTGTATTGACATAGCAACCGGGCCGAGAAGCCGACTCCAACTATATCTGCTCGGATTAGGTTTTGCTTCAGTTTCCTTCGCTCAAAGTGCCGCGTTGCGTTTTCCACCGCTGCAATGAACGCGGCGGTGGTGAAAAAGACCCAGGACACACTGGGAAAAGTGATAAAGAAACCCCCGCTGACGGAGAAACTACTGAGCAGGCCGCCGTTTCGATACCTTCACGACATCTTCAGCGAGGTGAGTCTGAAACTAAAGTCACTCTTACTACCGCTGCTCATACAGAGCATCTTTATATAACTGAACTTGCTTAAATCCACAGAAAAATGCCTCTTAGGCGGCTAAAAATACCTCAAAGGTATAGTTAGCATGCATTAAACAACATTCGTGCTCTAGTTAAGATTATGACTCGAAAACTACCGTTAAAGTAGTTGAAACGCTTTGATACCCAACCTAACAGTAGCTAACGTTCAATTAAAGTGTTCCCTAATGAGTCATCTGCTTTAGCTCTCCTTCTAGCAACGCTGTCCAGTTGCTAGGCACAACCTGAACCCTGGCAAAGATAACCTACTAAGTCCACAGATGGATAACTGCTTTACTAACAGACTGCTAGTCTGAGTTAGCTAAACTGCTCTGTTAGATTTACCCATGTCCTGAATTTCCCCACTGGGAGCAAAAAAAGATTATTCTACGTCACGTTGGCAAGGCTGATGCTCAGCAGCTTATTAGACTGTTGGATAATGGAGAATGACACTGAGCTCCCTGTACTGGATGAAATGTTTCATAAAATTGAGGTCTTCAACAGGGGGTCCACGACCCCTAGGGGGACCATTGAGGTACTGCATGGGGGTCGCGAAAGTTTTGGTTGATTAGACTTTTCTTTTATATTCCCCCCTGCAATTTTTTCAACTAATTGAAATGTCTTTAAATAGATATCAATATGTATTCAACACACTGTAGTAAACAGATAAATGGAGGCAGAAAATGTCTTTCAGTCATCAATGCACACTTTCAGTGACACACAGGAGCTTTTTCAAACTGGGCACCGTTTCATTCACAACACCTGTCCCATCAATGAGGAATCAGAATCCGAAATACTTTAATATTGAGCATATTTTTTCTTTTGGGTAAACTTTACATGCACATGTGCATTCTCACAAATAACTACAGGTGTTTGTTTTCAGAAAGCCCATTTCAGATTTTCAGCTGCCATGTCAGATTAAATAATACTACTTATGCTTGAGCGATAGTATCAAGGTGTTACTTCATTGTATCTCTTATACTATATCTGTTGGTTGCACTGTTCTTTTTACATCTCTTTGCAGGTGTTGAAGCAGATTAAAGATGTTTTGTCGTTATCTCCCTTTTATCTCCTCTTTCTTTCATCTTTTCTCATTTTTTTCTGTTTTTCTTTTCCCGTTCTACTTACATTGCAATGTCCATATAATCTGTAATACTCCCTGCATTAATTATAATATAGCTATTTATATGCATAAATCAAGCGGAACAGAAAAGTAAGTCTGTTGGGCTCTTTTTGGCATCAAGACAATTATTCTTATTGTCACATTGCCAGATAGGACACTGTTAAAAGAAAAGAAATACTTTAATAATCCCAGGGCGAAATTACTTTTGTTACATGACTCCATTTGTGGCAGAGTGACTGTAGGACCAGTTTGATAAAACTCAATTTCATACAATATATATAATTAGTGGTCCCCCGCTCAATCTCGCCATCAGTTTGGGGGTCCTTGGCCTGGAAAAGGTTAAAGACCTCTAATTTAGAAGGTCAGAGTTCATATGTTTCAGGAGGTTCATGTAGCTTCGAAATAGTGGTGAAGATTGTCAAAGATAGGTGCTCTGTGTTTACACCTTGAAGCTTTCTCTCTCTGGTTCTTTTTCCTGAAAAGAGATCACTCAGGACAAACTGTTTAAATAACACTTCATAACTTATATGTATTGAATAACCAGGAGACATGACAGCAGATCCTGATAGAAATTGTAATCTTAGTCAGATCAGAGAAGTTGCTTAGAAGTACAGAAGGCAGCTGAACACCCCCGGGCTCACCTTTCAGGAAGTGGCCCAGATTAACAGTTAAAGAGGCCTTTTATACATCTGCAGTTTGCCACATCATTAAATCAAACACGTTAGCAGAAGAGTTGACATCCATGGCTTCACAATGGAAAAAAAATGAAAAACCAAATAAGTCCCTTTTTCTTAAAACAAGTGCATTTGTTCTTGAATTGAGGAGATAAAAGAGGCATTTTGCCAATGGAATCAGACAATTTAGATTTATAATAAGAAAACACAAATTGCAATGTCTTGTTTCAAGTGCATTTTTTCTAATTGTCTTATTTTAAGAGTAAAAATACTCATTCCATTGGCAAATTATCTCATTTACCTATTCAAATCAAGGGCAACTTAACTGATATTTATCCTAACAAGGTGCTCAGTCACCCAGGTCATAGTCATTCCAAAAAAGTCACAAAACAATCCACTAGATTTGTTTTCCAGGTTTTGAAGACGTTTAGCTTCCCATCCAGGAGGCTTTTTCAATTCAAAATGTCAGAAATAGCATCGAGTTACAAGCTTCTATAAAGTAGCCCAACAAAAGCCTTGTTTCGGCTTAGAAAACATGCACATTAAACCTGAAGAACGGGTCCACCCCTTAGTAATGGGGAGTCGTTGAGGTCTTAGTTAGCCTGCAATAGCCGATACTGGTCTATGCCTCTGGAAGGGGAGTCATTAGTGCCTCATTTCTTATTAGCTAAGATTTTGTTGGACAAATGGTTTCAAGACATGTATCCAGTAGAAAAAACTGTAAACTGTGACAAACTTTATTTTTCTCTCTTCGATTATTATTATGTTTTCGAACTATAGTAATTGGTTTTCCATAGTTTCCTTAAAGAAGTTATATGAAATTAAACCAAATGAAACTAAAACTTTCCCACTTGAGGTGTTCTGGATAGAGCATATTGACAGACGAAAAGTATTTTTTATGGTCTAATTATTCATAAAATTCAAATAAACCAGTTTGCAACATTTGGTCTATATTTGGCATTGATGTGTCAAATTAACCTTTTATACAGAAAAAGGTCATAGATTCACAATGTTTATGACTAGAAATATGAAGTTTTTCACACTTTTTTATTTTAGGGAAAAAAAGACATGTTTCTGGATATGTTTAAAATCCCAAAGCTCATGTTGTGTAAAACCAGTCTGTACACATTTTCCAGAAACTAAACGGTCATAGCTTTCAAATGAGATATATCACA